CTGGAGTATTGAAACTTGTCCACTCCCTTCTGCGTCCCACACAGTCTTTTTGGCCGATCACGATAGTGATCTGCCACCACGACCCTAAGGTACGGGCAGGCGGAAGGAAGAGGTGGGCAAGCACTTACTACAAGAAAGTATTTTGGCACCTGCAGAACATTATTTCAATGTTTGTGTGAATGAAGCAGCAAACAATCAATGCAGGCTTCATTCACAAAGAATCCATTGTACATGTTCCTGAACAGAATCCTGCCTTCATTTCTGCAATTAACCAAACAGAGGGTTTGTGGTTGGGGTTTAAGGGGGGCGCTAGTCTAGTTTTCCAAGTTGGGCGATGCAGGTTGTTTAGCCTTTTAAAAAACCGGACAGTGATTCTAAAAACAGTACTGTTCTGTTCAAAACCAGAATGGTGAAAATTAGGGATGCACCGATACTTTTCAGATACCAGTGTCGATACTTGGTGTTTTCATGAGAACTGCCAGGGTTGCAGATGGGACCTTGCTCTGGCGCTCCACCACTCTCCTGAAATCATTGCTCGATATTGTTTTAGAAAAACTGTCACATGACAATAAATGTATCAGTGCTTGTGTCTGTAAGGACTTGGGCAAGTATCAGTACTTGTATTTGCAAAAATTGTATCGGTGCATCCCTTTATTTATATTCATAAAAACAAAATCATACATTAAAACAGATGTACAAATCCCAGGAGCTCCGTGTGCTCCTTACAAATGACAGCTGCCTCCTAACTTTTGAATTTTTCTCTAGTCTAGTCTTGGAGCTGGAAAAGCATCTGTACTTGTACGGTACTTGGTATCAGTGCATCACTAGTGAAAATCCTAATCATGTTTGTATTTAAGAGGACATGTTGCTTGTGATCATGGGGGGATGTATTTAACTGTAGATTGTAGAATATGCACACTTCATACATTTGTTTGCATCTAATGCATGCAAATAATTTGGGTAATCATTTATATTTTAAATAATGTCTGTTGTCCTCTTTTATAATGAGGTGTGAATGGTGGTGTTACCCTTAAAATATTATAAACAGACCACCTTTCCTGAAAGAACGGCTCAGGAGGTCAAAGTTTTTTAGTAGGATTCCTAACACAAAGCCGGGAGGCCCTAGCCATCAAGTTGTTTTGGCGTCTCCAAGCAACAGTGCCAAGGGAAAAATGTATTACAGAGAAAGCCTTTCACACAAACATCTGCTTAGTAAATCATCATAAACAGCCATACGTCCTCTGCCTGACTCCTGTGAGTTCCAAAGCAGAGTGTGCGCCAAGCCCCGGATTGTGATGGCCAGCAGCCTTTGCGTAAGCACAGATTAAATTACAGCCTTGTAACTGAAGTACAGTACAGACAAGTTTTGGTCTAGCATTTGTGTACTGCTATACAGTTTACACACACACGCTGCAGCTGCTCATCGAAGGCTTCTGCATAACTCGAGTGCACACAGGCCTGAAGGGAAGCCATTCTGTGAGTCACATTGCTGAGTGTGGTTGCCATGCCAACCTTCATGTCTGGAGTGTTCCCGAGGAGCCGAAATCCACCTTTAAGAACCAAGGCCAGCAGCTGCCATTGGTCACGCTTCTTGTGCCAGGAAGGATATTTCTTAATTACCGAATGAATGTCTGGCCTTGTGTGTTCTTCGGTTACCACATTATATTATATATATA